AATTTTCCTATGCTTGTGTTATCATACATAATTACCTCGACAAAATCAACAACATGAATTTCTTCAAATCTGAGTTGATGTAATCATGTACATGTAGATTTCTACATTGTAACGGTTAGTTCACTACATCATTTCATACTGACTACATAATTATACAATGCTACTGAATTAAATCATCTTGATTAAATTGACTGGCATCCAGAATTTCTGAAATAGTTGCATTCTTCAAGTAAGGGAGTTAATCGAAGACTTAAAGATCTAAAATTGCTATATATGGAAATTTGATAATCTCCCTTTTCTAATAAAATCTTTAATAGTTTTTAATCTGAACAAAAAGCAAACATATAAGCAAGAAATAAGGTTAAAGATTTATAACTATAGATTCTAAATTTGATAATCCTTATACATGTTCTGATGAAATAAGTAAAATGTACCCAACTTTTAATTCTGATAATAAACAAACATACATGAAGTAAATCAAATAATGAATCATATGAAGGTACATAAAGTATATAGTATAACTAGGCATGGAGCAAAGACACATTGACAAAATTAGCAACATATAGTTAAGGTATAAATGCTATTAAGGTACATGTAACTAGAATCAGCAGCACAAAAATCAATTTATTTGATCTAGACTTGTTATAACAACTTCCATACATGTACAAGATTTAAATTGCAAGTTTATCTAGTGTAGTTGAGCTATTTAATGACCTTGTAAAAGCCTTTATTGCTAGCAGCATGCTTTCAGACTCATTCTTATTTTCATAAATTTTATAAGAAAAATATTGTGAAGTGAACAAAGAAAGTAAACAACACATTGCAATCTGCATTTACATGTACATGTACAAAAAAATTTTAGTCAATACATGCAAATTACCAAAAAGAGGTAGAAATATTAACAAGAGCACTGCTAGGCGGAGCATTATATGCCCGAAAGTGTTTTTTTTAGTAAGGATGAAGCATTTGTAAGATATTACATAAATTAAATAAAGTATTACCTCCTTCAAATAGCAATCCTCCTATAAAGTTTGAATATTGTATCCAAATGGAACTTAAGTTATGCTCTGGAAACTGTTTTCAGTTTTGAGGTAAAAGCAACCTTGAACTTTGACCTTAAGATCCAAAAATCAATAGGGGTGTTCTACCCAATATGGACAATCATCCTATGAAGTTTGAAAATTGTGGGCCAAATAGACCTTAAGTTATGCTCCTGAAACTGTTTTCAGTTTTAAAGTAACAGTGACCTTTGACCTTGTGACCCAAAAATTAATAGTGGTCTTCTACACAATATGGACAATCTTCCTTTGAAGTTTGAATATTGTGGGCCAAATGGAACTTAAGTTATGCTCCTAAAACTGTTTTCAGTTTTAAAGTAAAAGTGACCTTGACCTTTGACCTTGTGACCCCAAAATCAATAGGAGTCTTCTACTTAATATGGACAACCATCCTATATAGTTTGAACACTGTGGGCCACATGGAACTTAATTTATGCTTCGGAAACTGTTTTCAGTTTAAAGGTCATAGTGACCTTGACCTTTGACCTTGTGACCCCAAAATCGATAGGGGTCTTCTACCCAATATGGATAATCATCCTATGAAATTTGAATATTGTGGGCCAAATGGAACTTAAGCTATGCTCCGGAAATCAAATTGCTAACGGACTGACGGATAGATAGACAGACAGACTGACGGTCAGACGCCAGGGGAATAACATTATATGCCCAAAATTCTTTCGGGCATATAAAAAAGAAATTTTACTGTCACTGTGTTACTCACACAGTAGAATTATGGTAGCAACTATAAAATCAGTCACACTCACATAACATAATAATTAACTGAATCTGGAATCTTTGTACCTGTATTAAAATCTTAGTAAATTTTTTCACAAGTTGGATTTTCTTGAAATATTTAGACTCATCTGGAGGCATGCAGCTTTATGATAGATTACAGAAATTACATGAGATTTTTCTTGTAAATACCAAAGTTCACTTTGCTTTGGATTTTTCGTTTTTATTTGTTTGGGTCGTCAGAGCCAACAAATAATAAATGGTAACATAATTTCAGACCCTGATGCTGTTAATTGCAAATGCAGAAAGTAGTCTGCTTTTTTGAAGCGGTTACTTCCCTTTATGTGTACACTAACGCCGAAAAATTCAGGGGAGATCACTGTGCAAAGATTGTCAAATGACAGGCAAAATAGTTCCCGAATGGTCGAAGATTTCTAATATTGTTTTATTCTTTATAGATATACATGCTTTTAGTAAGCTCCATGATTATTTACATCTGTGTTAAACAACAGGTTTAGCGTCGAAATAATAAGAATTTAGAATAATATGGTTTTCTTCAGGCAATTTACAAATAACTTCACTGTGGCCGAGGGGTTTGCACGCTCCCTTAAGAATCAAGAGGTAATGAGTTCAAATCCCAGTCAATGCAACTATTTTTTTTTAAATTGTTTAAGTCAAATAAACATGGAATTGAATATCAGTGTTGCAATTAGTATTTTAGCAAATTTACTACAGTTAAAACACTGGAAAGCATTGGTTGCACTATACAAAAACAAATTAGTTCATAAAACGACCGTGAACACGCTAACAGTCTTATTTCCGGTAAAAGTATTTTTGCAAAAATTTGTATATGGATTGATGGAAATCGGTATGGTGTTCCTAAGGTCAATTTAAACAGTTCTTGCATTTAGCACTATCAAAGTACTTCAAAATCCCACACTGCCAGTTGGACATAATACCATGTTACAGGAAACCAGAAAATCTAATCCCTGGCATACCTTGATACATAATAGTGCAGGTAACCTGCTTGTACTGATTCCCAGTGTGCTCTAAAACTAAAGTAACCAAAATAACCTCCAATAAAGAGCAGGCAAACTTATTAGCCATAATTCTGGCAAAAGTTTTCAAAACCATCACATTTGAAGATACTCACACTACCATAATGATCGCTTTACATGCCAGCCCAAAAAAAACAAAGTTACCTCCAATAAAGAGCAGGCAAACTTATTAGCCATAATTCTGACAAAGGTTTTCAAAATCATCACATTTGAAGATTAACTCCCACTACTGTAATGATCGCTTTACATGCCAGCCAAAAAGAAACTAAAGTAACCTCTAATAAAGAGCATGCAAACTTATTATCCATAAAACTTAATATGCATAATATTAATGTTTTTTCGGCAAAAGTTTTCAAAACCATCACATTTAAAGACACTTGCAGTGTTGCATCTAGAATTTCAAACCATGGGGAATTGTTCCCACTTAAATCAATAAATGACAAATGTGCGGGATCTTTTTAAGATCTATGAAGTTTGACATACTGAAAAGAATTTTTTTATTTTATGTTGAGCAATTGTCTGCTTATGGGTAATAGAAAAAATTAAAGTTATAACAAATACTAGACTACTAGTATACTATAGTGTGCAGATCAAACTGTCAATACACATGTTAGCTGACTTGGCACTGCTACACGTGATTTAGTACATTCTTTAGTCATTACTGCGGAAAAAAACAAACATGGCAGAAGCGTACAAGATACGATGAAAATTAACAGAATTAAGTTGAAAGGACAATCCGGTGCAAGACTTGGCTCACACCGACTTCAATAAACAATTGGCCTAGATCAGTAGATGAAACACTGTATTTGCCGACTGTTATTTTTGCTGCTTTTCAGAAACACTATTTACTATTAACACTATTATTAACATTGAAAAGAACTAAAGTATTGATGATAATCATAAAAAAAGTAACTTTTTGAATTAAACATGTTAAAAACACAAACTCTGATTTCAGATTTCAAAAAGTGGCAAGCAAGATATTCAGAAACACCCGGAACACTTAGATGATAGTTTTAACACCATCTATTCATTCATTACAGGGCCTTTTTACCTTCTATAACAGGGACCGGTATACTATAGGGCTGCTACCCCAAAGAAAATTTCTTTAAAATCATGCCAAACATTGAATTTACATCAAATTTATTCTTCCCCTTTTGCAAATATACCATGTAAAATTGCAAAATTAACGGCTGGGCTGTTTCCCCAACCTGCCAAAAAAAGCCCTGCATTATTTAATTAACAATATAAAATACCTGCATAATTTTACTTATTACCTAGACGTCCAGGAAAGTTCTGATTATAATAGCGAGCTTGACGAGCTTCCCTGATGGACTTGCTCGCAAAGCGAACTTTACCGTGTGAGTACCTACTAAGTGAAAAATTTCGTCTAAAGTACCGATTTGGACACATCGCAACTTTTCGAATTACAAGATAACGATAATATCTCAGAATCAAGCTTTGGCACATCAATATATTTTGACCTCTTCTTGTCCTAGGTAGCACCTAAGTTCATGACGTTGAAAATAAAACCACAAATGAATGTGAATAAAATCATGCAATAAATAGTGAGCTTGACGAGCTGGTCTGAAGGGCCTGCTCGCAAAGCGAGCTTTACGGTGATGCGAGTACCTGCTAACTCATGGTTTTGAAAACTTTTGTCCCAAGTACCGAATTAGACACATCGCAACTTTTCGAATTTCAATTAAACGATAAAAGCCGATGTACTCTGATTGAAAACGGAAGCGTGGACTGGTGTCCTGCACACTTATAAAGGAACCATAATAGAAAGGGGGAACCAGAAAATGGAAGCAGTGTATAAAATACCGACTGACAAATTTAAAAACGAAAATGTAAAATAAAAAGGAACGATTATTTTAAACTTTCTTATGGTAAAAGAAGATCGAGCTCGCTTCGAGGCTTTGATTCACTGAGGCTTTGCCTTTTTCATATTATTGAAAATGAAATCATTAGACCTCTCCTTGTCCTAGGTAGCACCTAAGTTCATGACGTTGAAAATAAAACCACAAATGAATGTGAATTCAAATCATGCAATTAATAAAATCGAAATAAAAACCTAAATTACAAATGAAAATTTCAACGTAGGCGATACAGACAGTGACAAATTACTTTAAGTTTTAGCTAAAATGCATACCATAAGACATGTTTTCACTGAGCTTCAATGGTCCTCTAAGAATGTAGATTACAAAGACGACAAGCATAAACCAAACTGCCCATAAATAAGTCCAGGACCATTGAATCCATCCCTTGATTTGTCCACAAAATCTTGACAGGAAACCGGCCATTACGGTTATCCGAAAAATAATTACCTTGTAATAATCACTTTACAGTTTAGGTTCTATATGACTAAAAGTTTTGGTATTAGTATGCTATTGATTTTCAAAGAATTTCAATTCAAATGCCTCATTTTGTTTAATAAACATTGATTAAATGATAGATGAATGCATATTGTTTCACAATGGAAAGTCCCTGATAAAGGTTAATAAAAGTTAATTCTTTATTGTGTTTTCCGTGGAAACCAGGGACAAAATATTTATATTTTTTACCGTCATAACAGGGACTTTAATTTAATCACGGATTTATATAAGCTAACCGATAGTGTCCGATTCTTGTAATATAAATCCGTGATTTAATTAAAGATGCACTGCGATATGTGCCGCATTTTATAGCCGGGATTTATATTACATATATGTAATATAAATCCGTAAGTTAATATAAAACTGAATTTATAATTATATAGAAAGCCTGATATTTTTCAACTGCTGCCCGTATATACATAAAAAGAGTCCACAAATCAACTGTGGAAATCATTCATTCCTTCCTTAATATAATTTTGAGAAAAAAAATTACCTGAAGTCAGACGTATTTCTTCATTTATTGGGGGTTTGCCTGGCAATATCACTACCATATATTTTCCAAAACATTGGCAATCTTTATTCAGTTCATAAATCAGCATACGTATTTGTAAAAACATTGCAGTAAGTTGCAATAGGCCTACTTATAAATAACCAGTGCTTGTCAAATTAAGTTTGTTACTGAAAAAGATGAGAACCTTTTAGGCATTGCCACTGAATTTTTCTCGATATGTTTGAAGCTTTTGTCTCTTCGACAAAAATTCTGTCGAAACTTCTTGATTTTACGACTTTGCTGAAATATTTAGTAAGACGCAAAGACGTTACTCGCATTGATAAATAGCTCACGTAATTCAACACAGTTTTTTTGCAATGATTAGAAACTTCTACGTATTACGTATTTATCATAACGTCTTCATGGAATGTTTCATGTATTACGTATTAATCATAACGTCTTCATGAAATGTTTTTGGTCAAAATGAGAAGAAACAAGTTGACATGACGTGAAACTTTTAGATAAGAGGAGGCCCTGATAAGCTTCCGTACTTTATAACATATGCAATAAAAAGCGAATATATCTTTTACATTTGATTTGATTTGATAACATTTCTAACTAAAACATTTATTTGACTATACTTAATACTAAACCGTAATAATAATAATGCAATAATGGTCACTAAAAAGTAAATCTGAGCTTTTCGAAAAACAAACAAAAAATTAAAACAAACAAAATCAGTACAGTCTAACCTGTAATTTTCAAGAAATTACATACAACATTTAAATGACCGTACTATGCTTTTTATTTCATCTCCACATCAGCTTTGTCTGTATACCGTGAGGAGTGTGGCGCCGTTAAATATCGCAACGCCGCTATAAATGTCGCAACGCCGCTAAATGTCGCATCATTGCCGCCAAATGTCGTAACCGCCTTTAAATATCGCAAAATCATTTGCCGTTAAATGTCGCAATGAAAACGTTAAATGTCGCAACACTACCGATAAATGTAGCAAGATTGAACTCAAGTTATATTGTTGTATCAAATTAATTAAATCTGCCTACTCAAGACGAATTTTGTCTGTTCGAAGGCGAGTGAATTTATTATATATATGGAACTGCGTTTCAATTTTGGCGACGATAATACTCATCTTGTTAATAATGTATATTGTTTTGCGTTGGATTTAAGCTGAACTTATGCAAGTAAATATTGATGATTATACAATTGTATACTTTTTGTATAAAACTGCAAAATTGGCATTGTTCTGTAAATAGTTTAGTAAAATCATGTCTGTAAAATTTGCAGAAAAGACAGCCTAACGGTCTGGCTGCCTGAGGTGGCAGTTTGATGGCATTGTTGAGGAAGTCTAAATAGCTGACGATCTGGGCCTTAGGAGTTTGCCTTACGCAATGGAAGCCTAACGCTGGCAGCCTAGTATCATGAGGAGGCTGCCTATCATCTTAACAGCCTATCGATGTCAGCTTTGCAACCTGAAGTCGGCAGCCTAGTAGCTTAAAGTTAGTGACTTATATTATAAATATGGAAACAATTTAAAATACAGTAAAATCACTATGAGAGATATTGCTAAAGCACATACAAATGCATGATTATGGAAAAGGCGCTTTTACCTTAATAGCACTGAACTTTGCAGTCTAATAGTCTAAAGCTGGGAGACCTGGCAGCCTAAAACGTCGTCTTGTCGTGTGGCGTGTTGTCGCGATGTCGCTCAAATCAAAGGATTGGCTTATAAGCCAAGCGACAAGACGTCAGTGCGACGAAAAGGCGATAACGATATTTATCATACACCCGTGCCGATTTTGCGATTCCGTAAATATGGTGTTGCACGGCCGTGCATATATTTTGACGTGACGTCATTAGCGTTATGCAAACATAGTGTAAAGACGCGCTAAATGTTAGCGTTCTACTTTAGGCGCATCAACGGAAAATGACTCTTATTTCACTTTAAACGGTCTTTCTTTTGAGTATGTGATAAATAGAATATTAAATTCGTGTAAGTTCATTACTGAATTTATTGCACTCGTTGAATAAAATAATATTATGCTCGCCAGAGGCTCGCATAATATAATTTTATCCAACTCGTGCAATAAATTCAGTATTGAACTTACACTCATTCAATATCCTCTATTTATCACACACCCGTGCCGATTTTGCGACTCTGTAAATATGGTATTGCACGGGTGTGCAAATATTTTGACGTGGCGTCATTAGCGTTATACAAACATAGTGTAAAGACGCGCTAAATGTTGAGAGGCGAGCATAATATTATTTTATTCAACTCGTGCAATAAATTCAGTATTGAACTTACACTCATTCAATATCCTCTATTTATTATATACTTATAGATGAAATAATAAGAAATATTGATGAAATAAATGCGTATTTTTATTTTCCGTATTTTCACTGTAAAAAAATATTTTTCACTGCAGTGAAACATATTTTCCGTGTTTTCACTGGTGTCCTGCCGGACTACTTTCTTTTAAATTCTGCCAGTTCACAAAATTTAAGGGAAAGTCATTCAATTTTTATCACAAAAAAAGAGAAAATGTATAATAATAATAAATAGAAAATTCAAGTTTTTTCTATAAATACATGATTTATTTTCATCTTGTGGCATGAAAATTACCATAATTATTTCTCTCGTGGCTACCGCCACTCATGAAATATTTATTTTCATACCACTCAATGAAAATAAATCATGTATTTATAGAAAAAACTTGAATATCCTCTATAGCTATGGTTGTGTTGTCGCTATCGACAACGCAACGCGCAAAGTGTTCCAAATCAGCTACCATACATTATAAGCAATATTATTCTCGTAAATGAAATACATGGAAAAATCTATAAAATAATGATTATTAATAAATTTAAAAAAAAAAATTAAAAGTAAAACACAAATAGAATAATTTAATCAGTACGCTACGATACCGAAATCAACTTGATTTCGGTAAAGTTACCGAAATCAACTTTTCATTACCGAAATCAACTTATAAAATCACAATTAAGCGTTTTAATATATTTTTTCCAATTATAATCTATTACAATAGGTTAAGTTTGACTTTCATGCAAAACATCAGTTCAAAATTCTTAATAATTATGAAATTAGAAACAAATAACTAAATATCAAGTTTACTACTAACCGATATATATGTTACCATACCGAAATCGGCTTATAAAATCACAATTAAGCGTTTTATTGTGTATTTTTCATTATAATCTATTACAAAAGGTTTAGTTTGACTTTCATGCAAAAAATCAGTTCGAAATAATTAATAATTATGAAATAAAAAACAAATATCTTCATAAAATATAAACATGTACAAAATTTATAATTAGCTTTTACTCATATTACAGAGTTTTATATTTTTCCATCAAAGTCCGATCATGGATTTTTAAAAATACGATTTGATTAGAAAATTGTTTTGCACGACAATCACGTGCAGATATATAACATGCTTGTGCTAATGTCTTGTAATAAATGGTTGCTGTACATACATAATTATAAAAATATCTCTAAACCTGCAATATATTTTATTGCTTAAAAAAAGACAAAAAAAGACAAAGAAAGACGGGCCATGCAGAGAGCGCATCCCAGTGGTGTGGCCTAGATGCATTCGGAACTGCATCGGCTATTATCTAAAATATTATTATATTATCCGAAGACTGACAAACAGGGCCGAGTCTTCTCCAAATCCCTCCAGAGGCGTGCACGTCGCGGAGAAGGCACACGGCAGGTCAAGGTCAAGTCATCTTAAGTAACAGGTGATTGGTTGACCTGTCGTGACTGACTCTGCAGGGTTGGCGTTAATGAGAGTCGTTTTTGTTATCGTCAGTATGGAACATGATGCCTGGCCAGTATTGTCGTACTCCTCTACCATCAACGAGCAAAGAATGGGCTACAGGAAGATTCAGCTTGACAAAGACGTCCCCGATGAGACTACCTTAGTGGACCGGCAAGGATGCTAAATTCTCGGACATATGGAATTTCCGGCGCCGAGTATAAATAAACTGAAATAGAAGAAGAAGAAAGGGCCGAGTAGTTGCGATTGGCCTAGATGCACTGAACAGCTAGATATTACACACGATATCTATTCAGTTGCAACTGAACGCTCTTATAAATGCAGTCGGGTTTTCTTTAATTTCAAATTTTGATGATATTACCATGCAACATATAGTTATGAATAACCTTGATGAGCTTGGTTTCCCTGTTGAACGTTTTTCTTGTGACAGCAAATGTAATAATTATGGCCAGAGACTTATTCAGTTGTGTAAATCTACAAATATCTTTATTGGTAATGGTAGATGTGGTAATGATGCATATATTGGTAGAAACACATGTAATAAAGGTAATGGTAGCTTGATTGATTATTTGCTTATGTCAGGAATTTTGTTCCCTTGTATAACATATTTTAATGTTTTGCAATTTGATCCAATTTTATCTGATG